TCAGGATTACTATAGTAATAATGATGATATCAGGATAACTATAGTTGTATTGATGATGTCAGGATAACTATAGTAATATTGATGATATCAGGATTACTAAAGTAGTATTGATGATATCAGGATAACTATAGTAATAATGATGATATCAGGATTATCATAGTAGTATTGATGATATCAGGATTACTATAGTAGTATTGATGATATGAGGATTACTAAAGTAGTATTGATGATATCAGGATAACTAAAGTAGTATNTAGAATTGTTATAGTAATATTGATGATATCAGGATTACTATAGTATAGTCGATGTCAGATTCCCTTAGGGGTTCAGCGGCTCTGTTGAATTTCCGCCGACTAGTAATCCAATCTTGCTCGGTAAAACTTTCGCGATAAAATCTACGGGGAATCTTCACCCTTAACGCTGGTAAAATATTACTTGAATACAATGTATCTGTGATTTCCTGCCCCAATCAGCCTTGAAAATAAAATATGAGGAAATAGTACATTTGTTCTATTTTCAATTAATATAATGAAAACCCTTACCATGTAATCATGAAAAAAGAAACGGCCTATTTAAAGCAATGCATTTAAATATTTCCAGGTTAACCCTAATATAGTCATTACGTAGTACTTGTCGTGCATATGTTGTGTTTTCAGCTGACATCTGGAAAACCCTGCCCACGTAATCATGAAAAAAGTATTGTATTTAAAGTGAAACAACATCTATTTATATTTACCACGTCAACAGCATATATTAACAGTTAAAGCTCACAATTTACAGTTAAGAGACGACTTGGTACATATCAACATCATACATACATCTTCTGATCTAACCGCCGAAAGATGGCAGGTATGTGAATATGTTTAACTTTAAAAAGGATTAGGAGGCACATATGATATAAACGATCAAAAGATTGTTTACCAGACAACAGTACAGTATGACATACGTTTCAACCCACTTTGGACGTTATATTCCGAATGATAAATTTAAGATTGCATAGAATACATGTTATAGATTTTGAAGATGGTGGGGTCGGAAGTTAATTTGTAAATGGAATTTTTGAAAATAGTTGATTTATAGTGTGATCTGTGATAAGGAGCAGGTAAGTTTTTATAGGTAGGTATTTCTCAAGTTTAAGAAGTGTACTCTGTAGTAGGGACAGAAGTGTTTGTATGGATGAAACAGATTATGGTATGGCTTGTCATGTTAATTCTTTATATAGAAAGGTCGGCAACTAAACAGAATGTACCCCACGACACTTCCGGTCGCCTCAAAAAGACTAATATACCTGTATATTTTTAGGTTTAAGAAGTGTAGTCTGCGCTAGGGAGCAGTTGAGACTATTATTGGAATGGTTTTACTAACAAAGGGCTTAGTCTTTAACACTTTCTATCTTTTAACCTCAATGCCTGAAGATTTGATGCTGTCTAAAAGGACTCTGCAACTGAATTATGTTGAAAGGGATCCGGGTGCATTTGAAAATGAGTCAGCCTAATTGTGGACTCCTTAATTTGTAAATAGTTATTGTCAGTGGCCGTCTTTTTGCCAACATCTTAGTAAGAAATCAAAACTCGTTATAATTTTGGAAAAAGATGTTTCAATATGATAATATAGAGAGTGTTCATCCTTTTGGGTTTTAGGTATCGAACACAATTTAAAACATCTATGAAACATAACGACATTGATATTTTTTCTTAAAACCACATACACTCAGAAAGATCTTGGATATATTGAGTATGCCTGTTATGTAAGTTATATAAGGAAATATCTTTTTAAGTGTATACAAATATCGATATCAACATTGCATACAAAGGTAACAATTAAAAAATCATCTACTAAAAGGACTTTTGGTTTCAGGGGAACAAACACAAACTTTGTACCACCACACAACTAAGGAAGGAGCTAATGGGATATTGAAATCAGGACATATCAAAGAATCGACTGATATGAAGATTGGTGCCGTATATGGTCCAGGTGTCTACATGACCAGTTATGGTCCGGAGAAAAGCCAGGAAGAAATAGCTTTGAATAATTACGGAAACCAAAAAGGTATCGCAATTAAAATATTGCAAGCGGGCAAGACGGACGCGATTATAGCCATTGACATACCAATAAGTCAGGTTGACAAGGTGAATTCGATTCGTGACATTTATATAGCAAACGGAAATGTCACACTGAGAGACAAGAAATACTCTTTATATGTCCGAGATGTTTGTGGAAATGCTATAATTCGATTACAATGTAACTCTCACTTGTCATCAAGAAGTTCTAATGATGTGCTTTGAAATTTATGCAATATATAATATTAGAACCTAAAAACTTGTCATTGTTATTACTGATTATGTACGTATTGTTCTGTATTGGTATACTGGTCGTCAGAAATGCATTGGTAATTTTCCGGATATATGTGCTGTGCCAAATTGTTAAAATTAGTTTATACCTGATTCCGAATTTTAGTCGTGCCGAATTTGGATTTTGTTTTAGTTGTATGCGTTGCAATAAATGAAAGATGGCCATCTTAAACTTTCAGCTTGTGCTTTTCTATCCCCCCTCTCTCATAGGTGATGTTCTTTGTGACTACGTGGTCCTACTTTCGTTTCCATTAAAATCGCTCTTCGCACCATGAAATGACAACTGTTATTTAAGGAGTCTAGATTGCAAGGATTGAATTAATCATTCTTAAACCGAGTGTTCGTTTTCACATTCTACCAGGATCGAAAATGTCCAGCCATAAAACATTTATCAATAATTATGTTCCTCGTGTTCATTTGTGGTAATTTTCCGGATATTATATACTGTGCCAAATTTATTATAATTAGTTTATACCTGATTCCGATTTTTTAGTCGTGCCGAATTTGGTTTTTGTTTTAGTTGTATGCGATGCAATAAATCAAAGATGGCCACCTGCAGTTCGAGCCTTTCTATTTCCCCCTCTCATAGGCGAAACCAGCCAATACAACAGCATTATACTAGTATATTACAATGCACACATTCATGGACTTTACGTCAATGACGTGTGTAGATGAAATAATACGCAGCATCCTCGATACGCTTAAAATATGTCATACCAAAACTGAAGGCACGCGGATATCTCTAGTGGTTAATTTCAGTCACTTTGAACGCTGAATACCAGAAACATTTTTGAGCAATCGATGTTCAAGCTTGCCCAAGATCTTGAGAGTATGAGACGCTAAATTAACATATATTCAAATAATTGCACCTATCTTCAAATAATTGAAGATATGTACAATTGATTGCAGATATGTTCAATGCAATTGAAGATAGGTGCAATTCAATTGAAGATAGGCTCAATTAAAGATGGTTCAAATATGACGAAGTGAACCTATCTTCAATGGGATTGTACCTATCTCCAATTGAATTGAACCCATTTTCAATTGAGTTGTACCTATTTTCAATTATTTGAAGAAATGTACAATGAATTGAATATATATTTATTTGGCGTACCATATTAGAGTTATAACATAAACACTTTACATCACATTAATTTCATTTCTGCAGTATACATTGTCGGAATGCGACCTTTATGATGATATAATTATTAAAACGTTATTTACAAGGATTTTTTGGAAGATTTCAAATCCATTATTAACGAGGCAAGTCCGTATTCTGATCATTAACCAATTTTCATTTTGAATTACATGAAGCTACCAGTAAAAAAATAAGAATAGTGTCCTGATACATTTAACCAGTTTAACGTGTTGCCCATTGCCTGGTGCAGTCTTCAATGTAATTCATTCGTGTTTTGAAATAAGCACGCTGGTCATGTGGTAACTGGTAAGAAATGATCGAAGCCAATTGATGAGGAAGAAGAGTCTGCAAATTCTACATATATGTCAAGTACAGGAGGGTGTTAATGATCAACAATTAGTGTCCTTTTACATCAGTCATGATGAAAGTGAAATGTAATGTAAGGTAGTTATGGCAAAAACACAGAAAATGTCAGCATACATTCAATAGTCGGTGTTCCATCGATATTTTTGATATGCGTGTTTTGAATTTCGGTTATGGGTGACCGAGACTTGTTATTCATTCAAGTAGTGCATTGATGCCTTCCGCCAGTACTTTATTTTCTTTCTCTTATATTAAGCGGCCTCGTCACTGACTGATTCGGCCCCATGCTGGGCACTTCCTCTTCCGGCTTCATTCCACATTTGTTGTAACATTTGATTATTGTGCGTTGTGTTACATAAAGTCTTTACTATCAGAACACGGTGTCATTCCTTATTGGCGTGGTGGCAGCGGATTACCCATGTCTAGAAGACTCTGATGAACATGTAGTCAATCAACAACGTGACATCTGTACATTGAAGTGAAGGCTGTAACCGTGACTTGTTATCTATTCAAGTGATGCATCGATGCCCTCAACTGTACTGTAACTTAGAACTGTACTGTACCGTTACGTATCCGTAATATTAGATAGTATTCAAGTGAAAATGAAACTGAAATAGTTCCACGAATCGATAGTAAACATTTTCACAAAACGAAATGATGATCATGAAACTGAAATAGTTCCACGAATCGATCATATACATTTCCACAAATCGTAACAGGTTATTTTTAGCAAATATACATACTGTTTACAACTGTTTCTCCGTTATCTTTGGTAACGAATTATGAAATACTGAATAGTTGGATGAATGATAATGAATTTGTGATGTCAGATGATATCTACAACTGTTTCATCTTATATAAAAAGTCGAATGCATTGTAAAGATTAAACATCATGCAATTTTTGTCACTGTTACGGTGTACGGTTAGCAGTAACCTGTATCGGTTTAATATTTCTTTTTCAGTGCGTGGTTCCTTATTTCGTATCTCTAGTGGCTATTTTCAGTCACGCTCAACACTGAATATCAGACACAATTTTAGGAGTCAATGTTCAAGGTTGATCAAGTTATTTAGAGTAAAAACTTCACATCACATTAAAACTTTACATCACATTAATTCCATTTTTGCAGTATACATTGTCAGAATGCGACCGTTATCATGAATTATAAGGATTCTTTTGAAGTTTGAATTCCATTATAAACGATGCAAGTCCGTATACTGATCATTAACCCGCATTAGGAAAAAGTACCAAACTGAAGCATTATTAGTACGCTATATAAATGATTAATTGAACAAATGATTGTTCTTGTGTTTTCGTGTGACAATTAATTAGACAAACTACATATTAATGTCAAGGATATTATTCAGCACATCGTTTGTTATTACAACTACATTATATAATATTGTTGCACATACCTAAACGCACATCAAATATTACTTGAATACAGTGCATCTGTGATTCCCTGCCCAAATCAGTCTTGAAAATAAAATAGGATGAAATAGTACATTTGTTCTATTTTCAATTAATATAATGAAAACCCTTACCATGTAATCATGAAAGAAGAAACAGCCTATTTAAAGCATTGGGTTTAAAAAATTCCAGGTAAACCCTAATATAGTCATTACGTAGTACTTGTCGTAAATATGTTAGGTTTTCAGCTGACATCTGGAAAACCTTGCCCACGTAATCATGAAAGAATATATACCCGTGTCAACAGCATATATTAACAGTTAAAGCTCACACATTTACATTTAAGTGACGACTTGGTACATATCAACATCATACATACATCTTCTGATCCAGCCGCCGAAAGATGGCAGGTATGTGAATATGTTTAACTTTAAAAAGGATTAGAAGGCACACATGATATAAACGATCAAAAGATTAGAAAAATCGTATTTGTTTACCCGACATCAGTCCATTATGACATACGTTGCCACACACTTTGGATATTATATTCAGAATGATAAATTCAAATTTCTTTCGTTTGTTTAGACTCAAGATTAATTTATTATGTTGTATATTTCTGTACGCCGATTAAGGACTAATAGTGTTAAGACAGATTTTTTTAATTTTTTTTTTTATTATTAATAATTCTATCTTTATAAGATTGCATAGAATACATGTTATAATTTTGGAGATGGTGGGGTCGGAAGTTAATTTGTAATAGAAATTTTTAAACATAAGTTTATTTATAGTGTGATCTGTGATAAGGAGCACGTAAAGTGTTATAGGTAGTATTTCTCAAGTTTGAGAAGTCTACTCTGTAGTAGGGAGCAGCAGAGTTTGTATGGATGAAACACTTGTTTAAAGAGATTATGGTAAGGCTTGGCGTGTTAATTCTTTTTTAGAAAGGTCGGCAACTAAACAGAATATACCCCACGATACTTCCGGCCGCCTCAAAAAGTCTAATATACCTGTATATTGTAAAGTTTAAGAAGTGTAGTCTGCGCTAGGGAGCAGTTGAGACTGTTATTGGTTTTACTAATAACGGGCTTAGTCTTTAACACTTTCTATCTATCAACCTCAATGCCTATAGAACCCTGAAACTGAATTATGTTGAAAGGGATCCGGGTGCATTTGAAAATGAGTCAGCCTATTTGTGGACTCCTTAATTTGTAAATAGGTATTGTCTGTGGCCGTCTTTTTGCCAACATCTTAGTTAGAAATCAAAACTCGTTATAATTTTGGAAATAAATGTTTAAATATGATAATATAGAGAGTGTTCATTCTAACGATGTGAAACCAAACCATTCCTTTTGGGTATTAGGTATCGAACACAATTAAAAACATCTATGAAACATAACGACACTGATATTTTTTCTTAAAACCACATACACTCAGAAAGATCTTGGATATACTGAGTATGCCTGGTATATAAGTTATATAAGGAAAATATGTTTTTTGAAGTGTATACAAATATTGATATCAACATTGCATACAAAGGTAACAATAAAAAAACTACTAAAAGGACATTTGGTTTCAGACAATAAGGAAGAAACAATAAGAGTGTATCACCACACAAATAAGGAAGGAGCCGAGGGGATATTGCAATCAGGATATATCGCGCCATCGACTGATACGACAACAGATGCCAGATATGGTCCAGGTGCCTACATGACCAGTTATGGTCCGGAGAAAAGCCAGGACGAAATAGCAAGGAACAACTACGACGGATACCAAGATACTTTGGCAAATCAAATGGTAAAGGCGGGCAAGACGGACGCGATTATAGCCATTGACATACCAAAAAGTCAGGTTACCAAGGCAGATTCGGATCGTGACATTTATGTAGCAGAGGGAAATGTCACTCTTGCAGACAAGAATCCCAGTGTTTATGTCCGAGATAAAAGCGGAAAGGCTAATGTGTACAAACCCAAAAAGTAACCTTATCCCTCACTGCTCTTAATGAAGTATTTCTGATGCGTTTTGAAATACATGATTCATTATGATTCGCAACTTTTAAATTCGTGTCGATATATAATAACAAATATTTCCTTTCAAAGTATTTCAATTCTTTAATAAAATATATCTCTGAACTTGAGGAGTAGTCATTGTTATTACTGAGTATGTACGTATACTAGTATATCACAATGCACGCATACTTGGACTTCACATCAATGACGTGTGTAGATGAAATAATATGCCGACAGCATCCTCGATACTCCACGGGTTACGCTCACTTTCGCTCTCTTCACCCCTGGAATATGTCATACCAAAATTGAAGGCACACGAATAGCTATCTGATTGGTCTCAGGTAAAATAATTGACCAATCACTAGTCTGAAACCTGCCCTTTGAAGATTACAGAGAAGCGACACCCGCCTTCAAAACCAGCCCATCTATTATCAATTTTATATGATTTTTTTCATATTAACATTTATGATTAAAGTTAAAAGAACACATCACAAAGGACTAAGGGTTCACAACGTGTCCTGTTATACGCCAAAAAGATGTACCTGTGGTGATTTCATAAAACTGTGTTCTCTGCTCTTTGGGAAAACACTGACATGTTGATTACGTGTCAATATTCTGCTTTTACGATTTAATAAAAATCTGATAAGTGGAAATACCCGTATCCTGCAGCTTTTATCTTGTTTAAAGAGAAAGTACATTCATTTATACACCAACGTCATCAGCACAGACTCCACACGGCGAAATATAGATATCACCTTATCAAGCCAACAGTATCTAACAGGAAATAGCAGATATAGACACTCAAAGACAAGGATAAAAATCCTTGAAACATCGAAAAGAAATATGTCATGAAAACAATTCAAAACAGGTTAAACCTAAACATACCTATTAAATCTAAAATCATATGTGGAATACAGCGATACCAACCTGCTGATTGTGTATGACTTTAATTTAATTCAAAATACCCTAGTAGTTATTTTCAATCACTTTGAACACTGAAAATATCAGAAGCATTTTTGAGGAGACGATGTTCAAGGTTGATTGAGATCTTTAGAGTATCGGGCGTCAAATCCACATATATTCAAATAATTGCACCTATCTTTAAATAATTGAAGATATGTACAATTAATTGAAGATCGGTGCAATTCAATTGAAGATAGGTGCAATTCAATTGAAGAAAGGTTCACGTATGACGAATTGAATCTTCAATTGAATTGTACCTATCTCTAGTTGAATTGAACCTATCTTCAATTGAATTGAACTTATCTTTAATTGAATTGAACTTATCTTCAATTGAATTGAACCTATCTTCAATTGAATTGTACCTATATTTAATTATTTGAAGATGTGTACAAATTAATTGAAAAGATATTAATTTGGTGTTCCATATTAGAGTTCCAACATAAAAACTTTACATCACATTAATTCCATTTCTGCAGTATACATTTTCAGAATGCGACCGTTATCATCACATAGTTATTAAAACGTTAATAAAAAAGAGCCCTTTGAAGATTTTGAATCCATTACAAACGAGGCAAGTCCGTTTTCTGATCATCAACCCGCAATGGGAAAGGGTACCAAACAAAAGCATTATTAGGTACTATTTAGTCTTTCGAAAAGTTGCAGAATTTCCTTGATAATCAAGTAAGTTTGGTTCTTTTATGCAAGTAAAATATGAAATAGTATCTTCAATTTCTTAGGTGCTTTGTTTGTCGACACAATGAAATACTTGCCATGCAGATTAGTGCAAGTGGTTAGACATCTGGGTAACGAAATATAAACATGTATTTGGTTTTCATTTTGAATTTCATGAAGCTAATTCATGAAGTAATTATTTTAAGAATAGTGGCCTACTAGATTTAACCAGTTAAACGTTTTGCCAATTGCCTGGTGCAGTCTTCAATGTAATTCATTCGTGTTTTGAAATAAGCACGCTGGTCATGTGGTAACTGGTAAGAAATGATCGAAGCAAATTCATGATGAAGCAGTCTTCACATTCTACATACTTCAAGTACAGGAGGGTGTAAAAGATCAACAATTAGTGTCCTTTGACATCAGTTATGATGAAAGTGAAGTGTAATGACTAAGTAAGGTAGTCATGGCAAAAACACAGAAAATGTCAGTATACATTCAATATTCGGTGTTCCATCGATAGTTTGATACGTGTTTTGAATTTCGGTTAGGGGTGGCCGTGACTTGTTATCTATTCAAGTGGTGCATGATGCCCTCAGCTGTACTGTCACTTAGAACTATACTGTACCGTTACGTATCCGTAATATTAGATAGCATTCAAGTGAAAATGAAACTAAAATAGTTCCACGAATCGATAGTAAACATTTTCACAAAATGTAATGATAATGAAACTTAAACAGTTCCATGAATCGTTAATTAACATTTCAACAAATCGTAACATGTTATTTTTAGCAAATAGACAAACTCAGGTGACCACAGTGTTGCCATGTTTCTCCGTTAGCTCTGATAACGAATTATGAAATACTGAATAGTTGGATGAATGATAATGAATTTGTGATGTCAGATGATATCTTCAACTGTTTCGTCTTATATATAAAATCGAATACATTATAAAGATTAAACATCATGCACCTTTTTAAAAATAATAATACGGTAGTCTTTTTTAATTGAACATTTATAATAACAACAGATCGAGGTGGTCAATATCGCTCACCTAGATATTTAAGCAATTATGTAAAATATTTCCAAACGTTATAGTATTGTAATATGCTATTTCAGCCTTTCAGTACCAAGGGAGACGACACCATTGTTTATGAAAATATATAAATACAAACGATTAGAAATTTGAGTTCTCAAATTCTGTTTAATAGAATAGCAAATGCAATAATGGGGTGACTGATTGAGGATATCTACATAATTATCTTATCTCGTTAGTTTGATGAAGAGCTTTAATAGAAAACTAGGTTAATAGAACTGCTTACTTCATGTTATTTGAAAGATGTGAACTATTTTTTATAAATACCTTTAAAACATCTGATCAGCTAAAATTTATCTGTTACATGTATAACTCGGCTATAACAAATGACACAAGTATAGGGGTAATATACGTTGTACGTGTAAGTGACGATGTACGTTTAGTATATTCGTTGTTGGCTTGTATGCAGTAAACTGATAATTTGGAAATGAACTATGTATACTATAAGATGAACTTAACGATATTTAGATAGCAATGCCGTTGTAACGAGATACTGACTCGTTTTAATGAGATATTAAGTCGTTGTTACGAGAAAATATCTAGTTTTAACGCGATACTTGGTCGTTATAACTAGGTACTAGCTCGATATAACGAGATGCTAAGTCGTTACAACGAGCTAAATATCTTTTAGTTGTCCTCAATTAACCACCGTACAATAAATATTCCTTATACATGTTATTTTTGTCATGTCGCAAATTCTGATTTTGAAATGTTTCTTAACCAATGATAAGCATACATTGCTCTTTGTAGTCTACATTGCTTGTCTAGCAATAAGACCTAAAATATCTGGAGGGTTTTTTCGTCTTCGTGAAATGTATAAATAGAATTGTATGTTCATTGAAGTTATTCTATGAAACGTTTCTCTATACATAAAACTATCGATTAACCTGACAAGATCAATTTATGTTACCATCCTGCTTTAAAAACCGAAGACATACAAGAAAACAATTTGTACTGTTGTTTCGTTGATTAAGATTATCAAATTTTGGAAAAAAAGACTTGACGGTCACAATTTCATTCTAAGGGTCTGTAATAATGTAGCATTTAAATTGGAGAACACGCAGCAATTTTTTCATAATAAATCAGCCAGAATTAGTCCATTCACAGAATCAGAATGATGGCAGGTGATTAGTTCGTGAAGAAGGAACGACCGAAACACGACTGACCGTAGATAAAATAGCGACAGTTTTGATCCAGCGTTGTATCCCTTGAAACATAATGGACTTGGTCTAACTATAATATGATGATGCTAAATCAGCTGCAGTACCTGATGGGGAAACAACTTTTGTCATGAACACAAAAATAGTACCATCCCGAATATCAAAAAGGTGGTTGCAAAGATTCACCGTTCGGAGATTGGCTACGATCAATCCGAAATGGCTGTAACAAACTAGACTTCTAATATTTTTTTAAACTAGATAATAATCTCCCCTAAAATACATATACTTATCAATGAGTCTATAATGTAATACTCTGCATATTGTGCATAACGTTGTGCATTAATCAATAGCTTTTTGACGAGTATTTCATCGTCCGTCATTAAGCCAAGAAAGTCCAGATCAGCCAGCTACTGATAATAGAGTGTGTATTCCCATGCCCTGCCATTCTCGTCCCGGATGTAGACACGGTGGTTTTTGTTGAACAGAATGAGGTCCCCCGGATATAGATGGATGTCCCGACGATCCTGTAGTCTTATCACTTTGTTGGCCTCTTGTGTTGGCATTTCTATAGCGATCACGGCATCAGTTCGCTCCGAACCCTCCATATATTGCCATTGATTACCCGATAAACCATCCCAGTTATTGCGGGCAATCTCTCCAGCTGAACGTTGGGGCCCTAGTCGAGTTAAGTAGGTGCCGTTAGCATAAACTGCGTCCCCTCCGAACCCAACTGACTGACGGATGACACCTTCTCGCATTATAGCCGCAACAGTTGTACGGTTGTGTGGTGAAAGTAGGTGGTAGGACCTACAAGAATAAAACAGACAATGACAAAGACAATGGAAGAAGTATATTGGTCCTCTTTCACTAGCTTAGGTGGCAGGATGGCCAATTGAAATTTGCCAACGATAAAATTGAATTTGCTGGCAATAACATTTAAAGCAGGTGATTTTTGGAAGATACAAGGCAAGGAGCAAATCGACGAGTTGGGACAGAGTATAGTGTGTGTGTGTGGGGGGGGGGGGGGTGTACTACAAACAAAACGTATGCTCCTGCATCAGGTTTAAAACATATGTGTAAATAAAGATGATTTGGACATGTTTATTTCTCTATTTGTTTTCTTTGTAATTTGATTAAAATTAACTATATTCCTCTATATTAATTGTATGCATTTTATTTTAACCACATGTGTTAAAAGAATTCGCCTAAACATGACCCTTAATAGGTTGTTGTTTTATCT